AAGATAAAGGATTGGAAGAACCTATAAAGAATTAATTGATGATAAAGGATTGGAAGAACCTATAAAGTATTAAATGAAGATAAAGGATTGGAAGAACTATTACAAATGATTAAATGACAATAAAGGGTTGGAAGAACTATTACAAAAGATTAAATGAAGATAAAGGATTGGAAGAACCTATAAAGTATTAAATGAAGATAAAGGGTTGGAAGAACCTATAAAGAATTAATTGATGATAAAGGATTGGAAGAACCTATAAAGTATTAAATGAATTATAAATGGTTGGAAGAATGATTAAAACGTTGAAATTCACATCAAGTTACTATTGAATCACCACATAGCTAGAGATTAAAGTAACATTTTTTAGCATACAGGAAACAGATTGGACTTAATTTCAAACTGCTTCAAAACTATGCTGAATATTAAAAAGAAATAAAATTCTCAGAAATAAATTTTCCTATGTAAATACACCCTCATAAGGTGAATTCAATTCTCTATTATAAGAAGTTGTATCAAGACTTGAACAAAGACCAGTTGACTCACATATAAAAGGTAACAGAATACTAAAGAAAACAACATTTTGAGTGGCTTGTCTTAAGCCCTAAAATCACACAAGAAAACAAAACAAAAAATTCCAGAAACTGTAACATGAAGAATTTAATTTGATGAAATTACTGAAAGTAGTTCATTAAGATAGATTTTGAAAAGAATCTTAAATACATTTATTAAGTTTTATTGTAATAATGAGCATATCAAGGAAAATAACACTAGAATATTATGACCTCAATCTCTACTTCAAATTGTATTCTAAGCATACAATACTGTCTTGCTATTGGATAAAGCAAGATGACCATTCTGTGCTATCAAACAGGTTTTAAGCATTTGAGTGATTTGTAATCTTTAAAATAACGTACATTTACACTCCAAACTGACAATGCCAATGGTATCGAAAAATTTACTCAAAAAATATGGAGAAGCAAGAAAGTTTCCTATAAATCTACATCACTATTTTCTGAATCAGTATCAGTAAACAAGTCTAACACGTCTTCAATGCCCAGGTGAAACAGTATCTGATCATCGTGGAAATCAAAGAAATCCCACAAAAATATTCTCTGTAAGAGAAAAAAAAAAGCACTGTTAACATTTAAATCACATTTTGGTAACTGTTCATTTTTTGAATGTAAAAAAACTAAAGCATAACAATCAATTGGTTGGTGGACTTTCACTTTTATCTTCAATGATCAAAAGATAAAAGTGGTTATAAGTTGAGGTTGATCATTAAAGATAAAAGTGGTTATAAGTTGAGGTTGATCATTGAAGATAAAACTGGTTATAAGTTGTAGCTGGTCATTGAAGATAAAAGTGGTTATGAGTTGAAGCAATGATCAGCCTTAACTTATAACCACTTTTATCTTTAATGATCAACCTCAACTTATAACCACTTTTATCTTTAATAATAAACCTCAACTTATAACCACTTTTATCTTCAATGATAAACCTCAACTTATAACCACTTTTATCTTTAACGATAAACCTCAACTTATAACCACTTTTATCTTTAATGATCAACCTCAACTTATAACCACTTTTATCTTCAATGATAAACCTCAACTTATAATCACTTTTATCTTCAATGATCATGCTTACCTAGAAGAATCACATTTTACACACTTCCTGATAAATTGTCTTTATGATAAGCCCCACAATTATTTTGACTAACAAGAAGCTAGCACAAGCACAGTTTCATAAACACATCCTTCTCTTGCTCTTCTGTCTATCAGCTACATTTCCGTTGAAAACATTCTGAGGCCTCCATTTTAAATATAAATATATTACTAGTTTTAATTTATCGAAACTTCACCTACGAGTTTCTTACTGCAAAACATCTTATTTAACAAACTTTTTAATCTGAGTTCCATAAATTACCAGTAACGGTTTCTCCAGAATTGATAGACATAACTGAACAAGCTTCTGTTCGCACCTTAACACAGACAAGACACTGATACAGAAAACTATCAAAAGCTCATTCTTATGTAGACACAAGTTTCCAAACAATAAGACTTACATCAACTGTTTCCAGTTCACCATCTTGATTCTGCCTACGACGAGGCCTAGGTGGTGGAAGTTCTACTTTCCTTCCATCTGGATATGTATGTAGGTAGAAACAAGCACCACCAAACGGACAAACCCCTTGTCCTTGTCTAAAATATTTACATGGTTTTGCACTGAAGAAAAAAAGCGAATGAAGAACACAAATATTAGCAATTTTCTGATAGTTTTCAGGTGTTAAAACGTATTAAGAACACAAAAATAACAATTTTCTGATAGTTTTCAGGTGTTAAAACGTATTAAGAACACAAAAATAATTTTCTTCTGTCAACAGTTCTAAACTAAGGTTGACAAAATGTGAACCTTAGATGCTACTGTTAGGTTGTCTTCTTCTGTCAACAGTTCTAAACTAAGGTTGACAAAATGTGAACCTCAGGAGAGGGGATTTGGACTGTGCACCATGTGTTTAAAATCTGATGTTACTCCAGGTGTTTGACTGTTATTAAATGGTTCACAGTGCCAACTATAAAAGGCATGTTAAGGAAATGGAAAGAAAGGCTCAGAAAATATATATCTTTAGATCCTCAAGATAAATAAAGTAATTTGAATTTTATTTTTCTACTGAAATCATAGACTACACGTGAAAAACTATCAGAAAATTGTTATTTTTTGTGTTCTTAATACGTTTTAACACCTGAAAAACTATCAGAAAATTGTTATTTTTGTGTTCTTAATACGTTTTAACACCTGAAACTATCAGAAAATTGGCTGATAGGTTGTCTCCTTCTGTCAACAGTTCTAAACTAAGGTTGACAAAATGTGAACCTTAAATGCTGCCGATAGGTTGAGGTTCACATTTTGTCAAACCTTAGTTTAGAACTGTTGACAGAAGGAGACAACCTATCAGCAGGTTCACATTTTGTCAACCTTAGTTTAGAACTGTTGACAGAAGAAGACAACCTATCGGCAGCATTTAAGGTTCACATTTTGTCAACCTTAGTTTAGAACTGTTGACAGAAGAAGACAACCTATCGGCAGCATTTAAGGTTCACATTTTGTCAACCTTAGTTTAGAACTGTTGACAGAAGAAGACAACCTATCGGCAGCATTTAAG